GCGTCAATCCAAAGCCGTTCAACTTTTGGCTTGTCCAAGGATATGTCTGATTGTTTGACGCTTTCAGCTCCTGTCTGTGGAACAGGGATGAAGCCGAACTTCGCTGGCCAGGAGTTCAGCAGGTAGAATTAAGAGATAAGTGTCACATGAAAGATACAGGTCAAGGCACCACATGCTGGGTTGCTGGGTGCCATGAGCGTTCAAGTGCAGCTGCACTCCAAGCACAACATGATTCATGGAAGAGGGAGCAAAGGCCGCCTTCTCCGCAGTGGTAGCAGCCAAGCTGTCAAACAATCGAGCTGTCCCCAGGCAGCCACTACTTCTGCAGCGTATCCTACCAAAAGCGCGAAAGCTTTCCAATTAACCGTCATAAGTTACTATGGCACTCTGCTATCCATTGTTCAACGATCTGCTTTCTTGCTGCAAGCATGGTGCCGAAACAAGAGCTTGGCATATTCATCGGGGGTTCCTTCCTGGCCACGCATCCCTTGGCATTCAAGCGAGGAATTGATGCACAAGTCGCCTCAAGGATACAAGAAAACAGGTAAAAATCTTCTGAACAAGTCACTGTCCACCCGACATTCTGAAAGAGTGGCATGGCAACTGCCTCCAACATGTGTGAGATGAGCTCGGCATGGTCACAGAGCCTGGAAACATCCAGTACGCGTTATTTGGTTGATCCGCCTTCGCCTGATGTCGCTGGTTCTGCGACTTGCTCAGAGCCCAACTTGACAAAGCAAAAATTCTGACAGCTCAAAAAATACAGTTTTTATGGTTTTTGTGTCAGATGAGGGGTACCCCTCTGAGATAGGAAAGCAGACAGTAACTTTTTAAGGGAATCGTTTTTCGAGAGTTCCACACATGTAGAAATTCCTTGGATCACTCCTCACTACTTGGTCGTCCAATACGAGAAGTTCACCATGAAGTTTCACACCACAGGCATGGTGGGCAGTTGGAGCCCTTCTGATTTGGAAGGGCTTCACCTCCAAAGCATAGAGGGTACAAGGTACAGCCAGGCTCCCAACCACAGGCTCCTAGCCTGACGCTGAAAAAACCTGAAAAACACCACTACGGTTCGTCCAAGGCCTGACCCTTGGTTGAGGGCTGAATCCTGCTGGCAGCAGATGATGTGCACTTTAAGATGAACAGCAACGCTTGCTCCTGGCATGATGTCTGGCATGATGTCTGTCATGATGTTCGGCAAAAGAATCAAGAGTCCTCAAAAATGTAGGATATTGTTGGTGGCGAAGTGGCCACGGGTTCATGGTTGAAAGTGACGAATTTCTACTACTAGAGGATGACGATGATGATGATGATGACGACGATGATGTGAATCTAATTTGCACAAGGAAGCATCGAAGTCAGCACAGAATCAGTTGAATTTCCCAGTGCAAGCTGAGTTGTTCTTTTCTTTGGCCAATGGAAAAGGCAGGTGGGAAGATTGACAAAGTTAGGTTCGAGTCAGGTTCGAGCGATTAACTTCAAACTCACACTTTTGCTGAAGGACCTCCTAACTCTTCCAACTTATCGCACGAACGGAGTTGGAGTGATTTCGAGGTCTGTCATGAACGTTTGTCGCCCAAGGCATTCACGATGGCAATGTCTAAGGCCAGCTGAATCGGGACATGGGCCGAGGCGTTCATGCGCCATCCGGCGTCCAACGCCCTTGCATGGTGCTCAAGCGCATCTGCAGGCCGCCATCCCGGCCAAAGGCCAGGAGTGTCCAGATCAGGTGGCTGTTTCAGATGCAAGCATGATGGACAACTACAAACAAATCGACGGCGGTTGTCCAACAAAAGTCTTCCCTTACATCTTCTTTCGCCTGAATGTCCCTGCCACTTTCACAACTGATCTAAATGACAAGTGTTCCTTTCGCGCAAGCCTCATGCAGCTCTCTTGTGGAAATCAACGTTGAAGTATCCCACGCATATGGCAGTCAAGCACTCCCAGCTGAGAGTGTGTAAAATGTTGCGTGTGTCTATGTTGGTGCTGCAAACATTGGCATACATGTCTTTCCCCGTCCAATCGCCGGCCTTTCCGAACGGCAGTTGGCCTTTTGCGGAATCATTCTGTTGAGCTTTCAACAAAATTGTCGGACGGACATTAACGGACGACTCCCACATCAAATTCGACCCATGTCCTCTGCTTCATGCATGGTTGTTCGCATCAACCGTCTCAAGAAGGCTCCAAAGAAAGCGGATGAAAACGGTTGAGCACCTCATGCGCTTGCAGCCAGCACATCCGCTCGCGGCTGAAGAAGAAAACCTCTAGCTTTCGGTTTGTTGCAAAGAAGAGAACCTTTTAATTTGAGCGGGAAGTCTGATGTTGGCCTTTATTCAGCCCAACAAGCTGATTCTTCGTACTTAATAAACCTGCACAAACAATCAACTTCGACAGTGGCCCGCACACTCCGTTTACACTGTCGTCATGTGCTTCATCTCGGCACCAAAACTGTTCTTCCTTCTCGTGAGCAAGTGCTCAGAAGAACACCCTGCCCTACCGAAACCTCTCCGTGAGGCTTGTCAAGTTTTCCAAGGAGGATCAGACTCACCTCCAGTATCCAGAAACTCATGGAATAGTAAACACATCTGTTTCAGAAGGTAAATCGGTCATGTCACATGGTATTTTTGCGGTTTGTGTGCTGAGACAAAGAACAGAGGGCTCTACCGATCTTGCCCCCCGTGGTTTTGGGGTATATAGACCTTGAGGTACAAGGAATCAAGGTCTCAATTGTTGCTCTTCCTTGCTGCAACTGCACGGAACTCATTCAAGGCTGCAAAGCAAAGGCGTGTCCGGCTGAGGTTGGCGACAGGTCTGCGCATCACACTGGACCACCACAAAGTACCTCAATCGAGCATCAGAATTCCCATGAGCTGCACGACAAAGTGCGCTGACATTGCGCTGACATGCTCGTCTGGGCTTACGTCCTCCTCAGCCTGTCCAAGCTGGTTCGAAGGCTTTAGGTGGCAAATGCCGTTTGGTCTGGCCTTTTGTGAATCCCTCCCACGACGTTGGCAACATCAATCAATCAATCAATCAAGCGGAAACCATGGATTTGCCTACAGAAGTTTGAAACATGGGCAGTTCCAAACAATTCCCACCGAACGACTGCGTGCCTTTCTGCAGTCTTTACGGTTAGAGACGACAGGGATCATTCAGCAGTTCGGTGGATCATTAAGCCAGAAAACCGAACATCAAGTTGGTCTAACCAACTTGCCAACTCGGACGTCATTCTTCAATGACCACCTCGGACACCTTCGGTTCATGGGAAGTCATGTGCGTCTTCCACTTGACTTGAACCTCCCGCTCCAAACCCGTGCGGGCACGGGCCCTGTAGATTTACCTGGCTAAGTTGGCTCAGGTGCACGTGTCTAGCTTGCGGTTCGGCACTGCAAATAGGTGCAAGCAGTGAAGAAGAGGGTCTCCTCATTTCGGCTGTGAGGACTTCAAGTTGAATCTGCAGCCGACCTGAGATGCCAGTCGCGCCGACCTGGAACCGTGAGATACGTTTCTTCCAAAAGCCCGTGGACGATCTTTAAATAGCGATGCCCTTGTGGCGTTCTTAGCTTCTAAGAACGAAGACTCATGCCTTGCTTCCAAAGTGGGAACTTCGCTTCTACAAACTGCGTGGTGGCTTCCACAGGCCAGGTTTCTGCGGAGCCTCTTCCGCGCATACAATCGTATACAATGATACGGTTATCACTTTTGTGGTGGACCTTGTCGTTTTACAGAGTTTCGTGGACAAACCTACCCCATTCTGCAACAGTGGTATCCGCGAGTTTTGATCGTGGCTCTACCATCTTAGATGCAATTAAGAGATGGCCTGGAAATCCCTCCCCGATCTCTCCGGATGTTGTCCTTTGTGTAGATCCATGTCGCCCCATGACCTGTTAGGAAGACCAGTTGAAATGAGTTGGGTCTTCCTAACAGGTCATCTTTGACACAATCTTCCCAGGTCGTCTTTGTCCTTTGTGGGTCGACAAGTTCGATAAGTGGCAACCTTTCACCAGACAATCTCTCTTCGACTAGACGACCCTTTTGGGCAGAAAACCAGCTGCAGGTCTGGCTTATCCATATGGGGCTTTTGGTATTCCAAGGGCCTGGCCGGCCTGGCCTTTGGCTCCGCCAGTTGGTTTTGCGGTTTGTGCCTGCCACGTTCAGGCACTTGTCCCATGCGCTGATAGGGGCGTGATCTGTCACCATACAAGGGTACAAGGATATAAGGAGATAAATACAAATGCAAAAGACTGCTCAAATGTAGTTGCAAGTGAGATCTGCCAGGAGGAAAATGCTCACTTCTGCGAGCCTCCCCGGCAGGGGCGTTCTCCAATCTTCTCCAAGTGCAGTTTTGGCTTTTGCAGCCACA